GATATATAGATAGATAGATGATAGATAGATGATAGATGATGATAGATAGATTGGTAGATAGATAGATAGATTATAGATAGATGATAGATAGATGATAGATGATGATAGATTGGTAGATAGATAGATAGATTATAGATAGATGATAGATAGATGATAGATGATGATAGATTGGTAGATAGATAGATAGATTATAGATAGATGATAGATAGATGATAGATGATGATAGATTGGTAGATAGATAGATAGATTATAGATAGATGATAGATAGATGATAGATGATGATAGATAGATTGGTAGATAGATAGATGATAGATTGGCAGATAGATAGATGATAGATAGATGATAGATGATGATAGATAGATTGGCAGATAGATGATAGATAGATAGATAAATGATAGATGATAGATAGATGATAGAGATAGATATGATAGATAGATAGATGATAGATAGATGATGATAGATAGATAGATAGATAGATAGATAGATAGATAGTGATAGATGATAGATGATGATAGATAGATTGGTAGATAGATAGATAGATGATAGATTATGATAGATTGGTAGATAGATAGATAGATGATAGATAGACGATAGATAGATGATAGATAGATGATAGACATGACAGAGAAATGATAGATAAATAGATATAGATAGATGATAGATAGATTGGTAGATAGATAGATGATAGATTGGTAGATAGATAGATGATAGATAGGTAGATAGATAGATAGATAGATAGATAGGGATCTGATAAAAAAGAGACCCCAGTAAGAAATTACTTGTTCAAGACCTTAATGCTACTGAGGGGAAGAGGTGAGATATGAATCTCTGTCTTTTGCCTCCTACCCTAGGCTTTTCCCTCCCTATCATTTTGCCTCCTCAAGAATTAATGGAGTACCTATAATTCACTGAGCACTTAGGGGACTGCTGAACTCTAGGCCTGTATTTCTACTTGCACTCTAATTTCTGAGTTTCAATCTTTGATAATTATCAATTAAAGTTTCTCTAACCCCTGGGCACTTTCTCTCTCTGATATCCTTAATTTTTCCTCAATATTCTTTATTGAAAATTAAATGCAAATGCTTTTGTAACATCAACATTATATTAAGAGTCTTCTCAGTAATATCAAATATTTTCAATGGTTAATAAAACTACTTCTACACTTCAAATATGCCAGAAGAATTGTAGCAGCTGATTGATTCTCAATAGGTTCTTTCTTTGCAATGGGTTTCAGAAACCCAGTCTCACATACAACCACCTACTAGCTCTACTGTCCAAAGACCAAGTCCTTTCTTGTCTTGAATGATGATTAACCAGGTCCTGGAAGAGTTATGCTTCCTAAGATAACACAGACTGGTCAGTGTTGGCGAAGAGACAACCCCACTATAGCCCTTTAAAATTATAATTATTCATACACTGAAAGATTGTAAAAATGTGTCTCATTCCTTTCTATATATTCCTCCAGGCATCACTGAATTTGTAACTTTTTTTCCATTTTAAAGTCTATGAACAATTAATATATGCTCTTGTTATTAATGAAATATTACTTAATGGATATTATATATTGAACATGCACTGTGGGTCTGGCCCCAATTGTTTTACATTGTCTGCTCTTCATAGATCTCCTTAAAAGCTAAGTATCATTATGAAGATTCAGAAGGACAAATTACTTGAATATTTACATAGTGCGTAACTGAGCTGGGATGCAACTCTAGTTAAATCAGTTTGACCACAGAGTATGAATTTACATGTTCTGCTTGTGCATCCCTAGCTGACTCATATGGAATGTGGTGTCAGGAGGCCTAAAATTCACAGTATGGGAAAATTCTAATATAAGTGTTTGAGCCTTTGTACTGAAGGCACATTTCAGAAAACGCTGGAGGAAATTGCAATCGATGCCCATAGAATGAATGAAAGATGGATGGAAGTCCACAAAGAAAAATAAAGGGAGATTCTATCATGATATTGAACAAAAACGGCAGAATCTACTTGTTTTGTGGAAGATGAAATGTGGCCATCTTGTGCATTGGTGAATACTGTGGCTCTTGTAAAATGTGATAAGAAGGCAAATTTAACAGAACAACAGTCTCTAAGTATTTGATTTAGTTTCTCCATTCAAAAAAGAAACACTTTATCCCTGCCTGTATAGTCACACACTCACAATAAAAAGAAAAAGAAGCCATCCTTAGACTAGGCATTTTTAGTCTGTTAATGCATGAGATTGAAAATATATAACCACACCAAGCCCGGATGATGGATAAAAGATTTTTAAATCAGGATAAAAATCAGATGTACAGGAAGGGAGTTTGATTTAACTGAGAAAAGCCCCATGACGTACCTTGGGAAAATGCACGTGGGGGACAGCTCTCCACCAAGTCCTCTGTCTGACCTAGAGGAATCTGATAAGAACATGAAAACTAAGTTTTCAACATCTCAACAACATGTATGATCAACAACAGAGGTGACATGTGAGCAGATGTGAATAGAATCTACCAACTTGTCAACAATCCCCTATGGGAAACATGAAATAATCTACAGATGCCTGTCTTCTGTTCCTTCTCACACTCCAAAGTGTTTGACATGCTCCTTGGTATAGGGTGATAAATCATATCATCAAATTGAGCTTATTAAAGGAAGGGAGAATGGATCTTGCATGAAGTTGTAGGAAACCAAAATCAATCACTCAATGTTTGTAGCTTACTCCCTAATGTACAAAATGCAATCACTGGCCAAGATCTTCCTCAGTAGTGTTTTTTAAGATGTTTATACTGTAGTGAGCAGAAGGCATTAGTAAGGAGGGAAAATAAAGTTTTGATTTCTTGTATATGAGTGTATGTGTGCATGTATGTACAGGTGAGCATTCACGTGTGTGCACATGTGTGTAGAGGCCAGAGAGTTGATGTTGGATGTTTTTCTCTGTTATATTCCGCCCTATATTTTGAGACAGGGTCTCTCACTGAACCTGTAGTTCGCCAATTCAACTAGACTGCCTCCCCAGCAGTAGGATTGTGTGTGCACACCATCATGCCCAGCTCTTTACGTGGGTGCTTGGGATCCAAACTCACGTCCTTGTGCTGTGCTGGTATGGTGAGCACTTTATTGACAGAGCTATTGCCCCCAGCCCTGGGTTTTGAGTTTAATTTTTTTAAATGTTATTCTAAAAGACCTGAGGCCCATGAAGTCTTCATTAAAGAAAAAGATCCACTCATGTATTCTGGCTTTAACCATAGGCATGACAACGTCCTTCACTTGGGGAGAAGGTTGCAGGTGATGAATCTTTTAAACATATCACAGAATTTTATGACAAGCAGCGATGGTGTCAAGATTTCTAACAGCCCAGCTCAGTGTAACTTTATTTTCTTACTGACAGTTACTACCTACAACAAAGCAAGGCATTTAAGCTGTCAGCTTGGGGTAGTTGTTTATTAAGAGAAAACCGAGGGTGTGTTACCAAGAGTTAGAAATGGGGTTTGGGGAGAAAAATAAGAAGAGGAAGGAAGAGACTTGAAACCACTACCGTTTTAACAACGCCCTTATTTTCTGCAAGTAGCTATCAAAATCTTCCAGCATTTTTAGAGACAGTTTTGCATCTTAATAGTATATGATAAACAGTTTCCTTTCATATTTATGCACAGGCATCTAAGAAACGGTGATTTTTTTTTTTAATCCTAAAAGGGAAAAAAAAAATATCACATTTCTCTCAAGGAAAAAAATGAAGTGGAAATCATTGCCAAAGCACAAACTGGTATTTAAGAAGCACAAGCTACTGACAGATGGTTAATGGTCTGAGTATCAGCAAAATCAAAGCAAGGAAATTACTGAGAGGACTCTAATCGTTCAAAGATAATTGCACAGAGCAGTTCTGCGTTTACTTGCTACTGGTGTCGACATCAGTTGAGAGACTCGGTACATCTTGGGAAGGCCTCTTGTTCAGACTTCACAGATTTTTCTGCAAAAGATGTTTTTAAAAAAAAGATGGACTATATATTAAAAATAGAAAAATGATGCCAAAACAGATGGCATCTACTAATTGCACTAGTCAGATTTGTTTGCTGAAATAGTACAGAGAATCAGGATTGAAGACAGCAGACCAGATTGTGGGGCTTCAGTGAGGTGGAGTCTGCTTCAAAGACTTCTAATTCTATTTTCCATTGTCTCATTCTTTAAATCTGAATATTCTGTAAATAAGGACAACGTTTTGGGGGGAAAGCAACACCTTCAAAGGTTGATTTGTCATCCAGATAAAATAATGAGAATAAAATAAGAAATCTTAAAAATGCCTAGTTCTAGAGCCCTTGAACAAACTTGTATGTAATTAAAGTATCCAGCAGAAAGCAGCTTCCTTATCAAGTAGCAAACAGCACTTGGGTATCAGTGCCTGTCTTTTTGCTTAACAACTTGAACTACTGACAAGTGGCCATAGAGAGGGCCTGTGCTCTTTGGGGTGGCTATCAGCTTGGACATTCCTAAAGAGCATAAGCTGCCCTGAGCTACAAATAGCATAACACTGGGCAGATTGCAAAACTCTGTTCTTATGGAGGTACAATTCACTTTTTCAACTACAAATTAAGCACACATCAAAGTGTGTAAATTATGTAAACTTTGACCAGTTACCGCCCATCAAATTGCACTGTCTTGCAGTACTTATTCAACATTCTTTATATCAGTGCCCTAACAGCCTTTAAAGGTGAGACTGCAGTCTTTTCTTATTAGGGAGCTCTGCCCATGCTTTCTATAAACATGATATTAGTAATGGAAGCATAAGGCAATAAATCAATCATGCCAATTCTAGAACTCCAAATAGATTATTTCAATAATGTATGTACAAACCTTTTCAGAAATTTTATACCCCAGCTTATAAGAGCTTTTTAAAGATGACCAGAGAAGCTTCTGGCATCCCCTGGAAGAACTCTAAATCGAAGCACACATTTTTTAAAAATCACCTGTTTGGATCATAAGATAATATTGTTCGCAGTCAAACATATTAGCATGTCCCATGTCCCATGTAGTTTTCACTTTTTATCAATGTCATATAAACATGCCTCACCCAGATTACTCTTAGTTTCACCCAAGCAGTAAGCTTACTTTTAAGCCAAGACCTTCTGCAGCAGAAAGCAAGGTCTTATTGTTTTGTCTTACAAATGTATGCAGCTGTGTAGACAAAGCATAATGACAGTTGATAAAGGATTAGTAACTGTGAAAACAACTTGTGTTAACAGCTCCAGAAACTTTTCAATGGAAACAGACTCTGTCTACCAGTTCCCTCAAAGCGACACATGCATCTGTTCTGAAATATAACCTTCTCATATGTAACTCCTCCACAGGGAGTCCCCAGACTCTTCTCCCAACTGATAAACGACAGAATAATTACTGAAATCTGAAGCTTCCCTGTAGTCAACAGTGCAGCAATCCAGACTGAGCAGTCCTTCAGCTGAAAGTTCAGTCAGAATGTCAACAGGTGCAGAAATTGCTTGACAAAGGCAATCCAGTCTTCCCGTCCGATGGAAGCTGCCCACATCCCGCCTGTGTGTAGGCATCCACAGAGGACTTTGCTCATTGGTGGCCTCTGGATCTTTCAGTTGTTTCCTAGAATAGCACAGAATATCATTCTTGGGAAAGTCAGCCCCGCAGCCCTGCTTGTTTACTTTCAAAAACAGCCTGTCTGCGTAACCAGAGGCAGGGCAGCAGAATGAGGTCATAACTTCCTGTGGAGTTCATATCAGTGGTGTTCACACATGGTGAAGACTGCAGGTAGCATCTGGCCCCAGCAAGCAGAATTAGGCCAGGTGTATATTCCATGGTCATTGAGGGGTGCTTCTTAGAACTACCATATCACCTGCATCTCAAAGACCATGTGAAAATCTTTCAGCCAAGCAGCTCTGCCCATTTGTCATCTTCTGGTCACATTCAATCATGAGCAGTATACAGTCAATGTCCTTTGTCCAACTCACTTAAATATATGGAAGACAATAAACCAATGCTACTAAATTCAGGATTCCAGTAAAGAACATGATTTTCTGAAAAATTCAAGTAATATGTTGAACCAACAAAAGTTGGATTTTTCTGAATACTCAATGAGCAGCACTCTACATTTAAATTTTAGTGGAACGCAAGGAACTTGACATTGTGCATCCTTACACATGTATGCTACTCAAGCAATAAAAGAAATATCCATCCCAGGAACACTGAGGTAGCATTAGGGAGTGGAAAGAGTGTGTTTCATAATCACAAAGGCTGACATTCAAAGAGTGTAGCCTACCTTAAGCTTATTTATAACTTAGCCCCTTTGAGTTGCAATTTTCTCGGTTTTAAATGTAATAATACATACCTCCCAGGTGACTTCGGGAATTAAATGAGAGGTGGAAGACAGAGATAGTTGGGTACTTGTACAAATGCTCAAGATGTATTCCTTATTAGATTTGTAAACTCACTTCTCTTTAGAGACCTTGACTGGTAAGTCTGGTAGAAAAACTAATCCCACTCATTCTTGGAGTTCCAAAGCTGAAGCTTTCAGGAGGATTCAGATTCTGATAGAACAAGTCCTGGGTTTATGTTCTTAACCTAGAAGCAATAAGATCATGTCAATGTGTTCAGGCATTTTCTATGAGTCAGACACTGCATGAAATACTACACTTTCAAAACCTTGTGTAAACTTCAGAAGGTCAGTATGACAGATAATATTTATTGATTGCCAACTTTACAGAATTTAGAATCACCAAAGAAACAAGCCTCTGGGCATGCCTGTGAAGGATTGTCTAGGTTAGGTTAGGTTAGCTGAGATGGTAAAACCTGCCTTAACTGTAGGTGGTAGTCTTCAGCGGGCAGGAGTCCTGTACTGAATAACAAGGAGAAAGGGAGCGAGCACTTGCATTCATCTCCCTCTGCTTCCTGACTGGATGCAATGTGACCCGCTGCCTCACACTCCTGCCACCATAATTGCCCCATCATAATGACTGTTCCCTAGAACTTTGAGCCCAAATAAACCCTATCCTAAGTTGCTTTTGCCATGGTATTTTTTTAACAATAAGCAAGTGACTGATAGTCTGGCGAGTATCCCTCCCCGTGAACAGGAGGGAAGGTCAGAGCTTTTACGTGGGTCTTCCACTAAACACTACTAAGGGTCCACCCCGGTGCCTCCAGTTGCTCTCCTGTATTCAGCCTCAATCATCTGTTGGAATCAAGGAACTCAATGTCCCCTCTGCAGCAGTTTATCCCCCGAAAGTCACAGGGCTGTCTTCATGCCTCCCTTGCCTCTTTACTGCCTCCTGCTGACTGTCATGCCTTACCCTGCCTGACTCAATTCTGCTCCTCAGGAATTCTCAGACTATAATACGCCCTGCAGTGCATTCTTTGTCAGGATCAACCTGTTCTTCAGCTTGAAGAGGACAGAATATTACCGTTCTCATTTCTGTAGCCCCAGTACTGAGAACAGTACAGGTTCTCAATTCATACATGTAGAATAAGAAAATTAATTAAATCCAGAAAGATATGACTTTAGAACATTTGATTGGCATTTTATAAATGGGTACTTCTAAAAGTGTTTTCCACAGTATTCTCAGTCCTCCTGTTAACAGAGTCTGTGTGTGTAGATGGGGAAGGGATAAGTAAGAACATATACAAATACCCAGATATATACACACAGAGACACACAGACATAGACACACACAGAGACACATTCAGAGAGACAGAGAGAGAGGGAGAGAGAGAGAGAGGGAGGGAGGGGGAGAGAGAGAGAGAGAGAGAGAGAGACAGAGACAGAGACAGAGACAGAGAGACAGAGACTAAAAGTGAAATAAAACTCTGCTTCTTTATTTGATTTGGTAAAATAGCAACATATAGTAATTATTACCATCAATGAAATTGTGTGTATAAAGTAGAGCTTAAAACCACACCTAGCACCTAATTGCTGAGTTGAAGGTAACTGTGACTTCTGTGTTTGTATATGACCACTTTGTCCCTCGTCTCTGATGCCTTGGGTATCAGATTCTCAGGTTCTCTAGGAAAAGCTTGGTGTCTCCTTTCAGCTGTCCCACCTGTCTTGACTGATGACCATTTGGTGGGCAACTAACACTACAGTCCTCCATTGTAATGATTTCCATAAATGAATTGGGGAAAAGTAAAGAAGACAGGGCTAAGGTGCAGCTTATTTGCAAGAACGCTTGTCTAACATGCACGGAAACCCTGGATTTGAACCCCAGGACCACATAAGCCAGGCATGTTGGTGAAAACTTCTAATATCAACACTTAGGGGGTTTTGGCAAGGGAATCTGGAGTTCAAGATCATTATTGGCTATGTAGTGACTCTGAGGCCACCTTGGACTACCACACAGACACACACAGAGACACACACAGAGAGAGAGAGAGAGAGAGAGAGAGAGAGAGAGAGAGGGAGAGGGAGAGAGAGAGAGAGAGAGAGAGAGAGAGAGAGAGAGAGAGAGAGAGAGAGATCCTAGAAAAATTAAACTTTAAAAAAATGGAGGTCCAGGGCATGGTTCAGTAGTAAGGTGCTTCTCATACAAGAAGGACCTGACTTTGAATTCCAAAACCCATGTGAAACTGGGCTCAGTACCACTTATCTATAAACCTAGTGCTCCTGTGGTAAGATAGGAAGCAGACACAGGAGTCTTCAGAAACTTGTGGTCCAGCTAGTCTGGCATATTCAGCAGCAAAAAGCAGCAACAGCAAAGAAAGACCTTGTTTCAAACAAGGTGAGAAATGAGAATCAATACTTGAGGTTGTCCTCTGACCTCCACATATATACCATAACACATGTGTACCCACATTCACACACATGAATACATATATTGCATCATACACACAAATAAATAAAAAGAAATATAAAGTTTATGATAGACATTTTAAGTGAAAGGTGCTAGGTGCTATGCATGCTTTTGGAAGAAAAATTAATAGTCAACTTTACACAGTTATAAACCCTAACAGCTATAATAATGACTGGACTAGCCAGATATGCCCATTGGTGCAACAGTGACATGGCATGAATGTTATGGTTATGAACCTGCGGCTACACAGGTCACAGGCCATAGAGGGGTCTTAAACCAATTCCTGGTGATTTCTTATACTCATGGATTAATGCATCTTTCAGCTCTCACTAGAGAAGCTTCTTCTTGCTGTAGATAGTGATTAACATAGATACCTACAACTGGTTAATGTGCATAAAATGAGAGACTGTAGAGTGATTGTCCTTACATGGACCCCTCTCTACTCAAGGCTCAAAGATCTGTACAGAAGAGGGGCCAGAAAAGTGAGAACCAGAGGTGGTAAATGAATACAAGAATCCTGTGTTTTCCAGACACAACAATTCAATTATACATGATTCCACCTCACTTATATATAAGAGAAAGCATACATGAGACCCGTACAAGCCCAAACCAGATAAAATCCAGCATGGAGCAGGGAGGTTGGCAGGAAGCCTCAGACGTAATAGAAGATCTATGGCAATTGATAGCTGTTGAAAGAAGGAGAGTCAGTTTTCTCTAAGGATGTGATGTCTGGTAGTTTGACTTGCTCCAGGGGATATACCCACACCCGAGAGCATTTGGGGAACACAAATAATACTTGATAGGCCTTAAAATTAATAATAGAAGATATGAAGTGAGGGAGGTAGGGAGGTGGAGGTGGCTCTGAGAAGAGATTCGGGAGAGGGTCTGAATATAATAGAAATGTACTATATGAAATTCTCAAAGAATTGATAAATGCATTGTTTAAAATGATATTGGGGCCTGGAGAGAGGGCTCAGTGGTCAAGAACACTGATTGTTCTTGCAGAAGACCTGGGTTTCAATCCCGGCACCCACATGGCAGCTAACAACTGTCCATAACTCCAGTTCCAGGGGATCTGACAGTCTCTTCTGTCCTCCGTGGGCACTGCATGACACGGGTGCACTTAGCTACATGCAGGCAATACACACATACACAAAAAATAAAAATAATAAAATTTAAAAAATAAAAAAAAATAAAACGACATTGGACTTTATGACCACACATAAAGTAGTGGCCTCACCTTTTGCTGTGGATCAGATACCACCTGTCGATACCTCTTTCAGTACTCCGTTGGGCTATGACGATGTAGAAGTGTGTAGGAATGATGTGGCATTTGGAACCAGCTCCGGGATGATAACCCCCCTATTGCTGGTTCAGGTCAGATGCTCAAGAACACTTTAGGGTATTCTAGATGGATAGACAAATTAATTTAAGAAGACTGTAAACAATAAACACACCTTTCTTGTTTTCTTAAATTCCTCACACACTTGTGGTCTCTCTTCTTACTCAAGCCTCATCTTCCTCTGGTACTCTGCTTTCTTAGATGGAGTCATATTCTGTCCCATGACTCATGGGGGGATATCAGAACTGCTCCATACATAGAAGCCAGCATTCTCCATCTCCATAGTCTCCCTGGGGCCCTAACCACCACTTTCTTCTGCCTGAATTTTATACCAGTATTCCTACTGTCACTTGACCTCTCTCCAATGCATTCCTCAGACCACAAGCAGAACGATCTTTTCAATACGAATATCTTATTATGCTATTCCTCCACTTAAAATCCTCAATGACGTGTCTTTGCTGCTCTCTCATAGTAAGCTCAAAATCATCTCTGTAGCCTA